CTCCGTAGGGATTTCCTAGAGACCTTAAAGGTAGAGGGGGAAGAGTAGAAGGAATTATCGGAGCTAGGGCTCAAGGAGTCGGAACTCGAGGGCCTAGTTAAGCTATAGTACTAGGGGCTACAGTTCGACTTAGTTGCTAAGAAGGATAGTTAAATTGTTTTCGAAGGGCTTCTATTCTAAATTTAGGTAGAAAAACAATCTCCTACTAGTAATAGGCCTCGAGGAGAGGAAGTATAATAGCGAGCTTTAGGAGGGTAGGACTATTACGGAAGCGGAATAGGGTAGCGTATAGTATAACTAGGGGCCCGAAGTACTACGTACGGTCCTAAATATAGTAGAACCCTTAGTCTTATATATACCGGTAGGGCCTATAGTTTAGACGAAGGTAGCCTTTAGCTCCGTAATAGTAATAGCGACCCTCTATACTAGGGATAGATTAAAAGGCAAAGGCATCGAAGGTTAGCCCTTATACAAACTAGTTATTATATATCTAAGTTATAGGGGTATTATCGCTCTAGAGGGGATAGAGGCGCTATAGGGTATACGAATCGGTATTAGTATTAACCGGACCTATAGTAGGGCCCCTCTAATTGTCTCGGGAGAGGACGTAAAGTTTTAGTTCTTAGAACTACTTAATAAGGTCGTCGATACCGGGGTCCGTAACTAGCTTAAGGGCTACCTCCTATCGCTAGATATCTAGGGTAGGGCGTATACTTAGCATTCTTTTCTTAACTGTCTCTCGTAGCTCTTTTAAATAGCTACTATCGTTACTAGTAAGGAGCGAGAAGCCCTATCGGCTACGAGCTAGGTCGTACCTAGTACGATAAATCTATTCGAAGTCGGTATAGGATTCCTTATCGTAAGGGTAGATGCTATATTTTTCGTAGATCCGAGGCATAATAGTAGGTATAGAGCCTCCTAAGCCCTTTAGAAATAGACGGCTCCTCGTAACATTATTAAGAAGCCTCCTCGGTATCCCTTTAGCGATGCTATAGAAGTCCTAACAAAAGCGAAGGGCATTACTCTTAGCCGTTTGTCTAGTATATAGCTACTTAAGGTATTTACGGGAGTTTAGCCGAACCGCGATATCCTAGTTAGTAAACTCGCGCTTAAACTTCTTTAAGAAGGCTTCCTACGTAAGAGGCTTACTACCTAGGAGCCGAGTAACTCGGGGTCGGATACTAGTTTTATAATTAGCTATAAGGAGCTTTACCGTAGTAGCCGTTTTAGCCCTTAGATAGTATCGCTTAAGGATAGTAGAAAACCTTTTAACAAAGTTAGTAGCGTTTTCTCTAATAAAGAGGGGGTTCTTAACGGTCCCTAGGAGGGGCATCTACGGCTTTAAGTCCGAGAAGGCCTAAAGAAGACCTTAGAGAAGTTAAGGGGATAGCCCTCCGGTTGCCTAGACAAGCTACTAGGGAACTTCTCGAGTACTGCCCTCCTAGGTAGTGCCTCCTTAAGCCGCTTCTCTATTTTCTATACTAGTATCCTTATCGCTTCCTAAGGCCGTAGTCCTCTCGGCATTAGAGTTAGTATCGAGGTAGTTACGAATAAAGTTTAGAGATAGGTCTCGGTAGGTACTAGTATTAGAGGGGGCCTATAAAGGCGGCTCCGCCGAGGTAGGGTTATTATTGTTTTCTTAGGAGCTTATCTCGTCGATAGAATAAACAATTTATAGAAGACGATAAACGATTAGAATAAATAGGAAGGATATAGTATCGATAAAATTAGATAGGTTGCTAGGTATACTTAAGGTAAGAAGGGAGCGTAGACGGGCTATAGCGTACTTTGTAGTACGTATCGCGTCTATGTCCTCGAAGTAAGAGGAGGGAGGGCGGTAGTCCGTATATATATAGAATAAAGGGGGCGGCGAATGTTACCTAGCTAGCTAGCTAGTATACCTGCTATACCCGTTCTAGGCCCCCTTTGTTCCTCTTTATTAATTTCTATTAACTCGTAGTATGCCGATTATAGTACCGCGGAAGGGTCGTAATAGCCTAGAAGGAAGTTTTAAGTTAGGCTCGCGCCGATTAGCGGAAGGGATAGGGGGCTATCGACTTTTCGGGGTTCTTCGTATCCCTATCTCTAGTTTCTTATAGCGGGCTCTTAGGTTTCTTTCTATATAGGTCGTTTCTTATAAGGTCCCGCCTACTATAGATAGGTAGGGGGTCGTAACATTCGTAAATAGTATTTCCTTTTACTTTAAGTCGGTAACGGTATTCCTTTTGCTTTAAGTCGGTAACGGTTTATTAGTAGTAGGACGTCTCGATACTACTAAGGTCTTTTTAGCGGTAGTATTACATTAGTAGTATAGTCCTCGCTCTAGGCGAAGGCTGTAAACGTTTCTTCTTAACTATATACATACCTGCACCTTTAAATAAATAAAGATAGCCCTACCTTTAGCTCTAGAAAATATAGTCGGAACGAGTAGGTCGTAGGTAGAGGTATATATATAGGGAACTATATACTATAGGCCTAGTACTTAGTGTCTCTTAGGTAACTACGAGGGGTCGGCGTAGTATTGTATACTTCGAAGGGAAGGCGTTGTAAATATTAAAGAGAAGAGAATAGCCGTAGGGAGGACTATATTATAGCTAGATTAGGTATATTTCCTATGTCTTTCTTGCAGTATGTTGTCGTAGCTATGTCTCCTTATATAGTGTGTATATATGTGTCTAATTATAAAGGTAGTTTTGTGTGTTCTAGGGTACAAAAAAGGAGAGGGGGTACAAGTGTATATACCTATACTAAGCCGGGTTTCCCTACTATAATAGAAAGGCAGAATGCTACCCTATAGCAGTACCTACGCAGCTATATTAATAAGAACCCCGACGATTAGGTTAACCTCCTATAACCTATAGAATTCGTATATAATAATAGTATATACTTATTAACTAAGGTTTCGCTATATATAGCTATAATAGGCTAAAACGCCGCGTTGCTATAGGATCTATTCGCCTCGCTCGAGGCCGAGCGTAAGGAAAGGGAAGCGCGTTAAGTACTAGAGACACTAGCGGTAATAGAACGTGTCTAGAAGATGCGAGAAATCTATACTAAGATAGCTAAAAAGCTAACAAAGGCTTAAGAGTACTAAAAGACCTACTACGACAAGCGTTATACGCTAATAACCTTTAAATAAGGCGATATAGTTATGCTTAGTACGAAGAACCTCCGTATCCGCAAATACCTATTACCTAATAGTAAAACAAGGCCTAAACTTGCACTAAGGTATATTAGCCCTTTTTGTATCCGAGAACCTAGAGGCACCTAGGCCTATTAACTATAGCTTCTACCTTATTATACTATCTATAACACCTTCTATATATCCCTCTTTAAGCCGTACTATCTATATAAAGGCGACGAAGCACCTACTAAATACGAAGACATACTAGATAATAGTAAAGAGCTATAGTCTATAGAACGTATCTTAAAGCATCGAACTAGGCAAAGTAAGAAGGAATACCTCCTAAGATAGCAAGGCTATTTATCTAAATAGGACTCGTAGGAGGCTAAAGACTCGTTTAAGGATATAACCGAGTTATTAGATAAGTATTAGACTAGCGTAAAGAACACGAAGAAGGCTAAGAGCTTATAATATCGCTAACGCTACTAGAGAAGACCTAGGATTAATAACACCCCCGGGGTAACATTCGCTAACTAATTAGAATTAAGCAATTGTTAGTAAGAACAATAAGACTATACTACGCGCGCTACGACGCGCTAATTAGTTACTACTCTTTTAAGGACTCTACCTCTTATTTATTTATTCTATAGGGCCTCGAAGCCTAAGCAATCGGCGATACGCGCGCGCGTACGAATAACGGTAATAAAGATAATAGTATCGCGCTACAAGCTAGTAGTATGCCGGTAGCCGATACGGCTATATTAGTAACGGTATTATAGAGTATATTACTATTTAAAGAAGGAAGGACGCGACTATATTAGTAACGGTATTACTAAGTTATTATTATTTAAAGAAGGAAGTTAGAAGCAAGGTAAAGTTAGCGCTAAGACGATTAGCGCCGCTATTATTAACATTACTTACTATTATCGCTATACCTACGACGATAACCTTACCTATACTACGAGCCTAAAGCGCTATACTAACTAAGTTAAAAGATTAAACCTACTAAGGGTTTAATTAAAACTTTAAGGCTAAGTTAAAATATTAAGGCTTAAAAGATTAAGTAGCTTAATAGACTAACTAACTAAGGGCAAAAACTATAGAGCTAAGCTAGCTAGGGTCGATCTTGCGGATAATAAGTTACTCCTCGATCTTTCCGACTCTTTAAGCGAGGCGAACCTTAAATACTATACTTATAATAGCCTTTACCTATAGAAACTAGACGAGCTGTGTTTTTTAGAAGAATAGTAAATAATAGCCCTCGTAATAACAAGAACAATCCCTCGGAAACGGACAAACCCTTAAAAGCGGATATTTCTAGGTCTTTTAGAGTAGACGCAAAGAACTCGAAATAATATTACTTAGAACGGAGGCAGTACTATAATACCTCGTACGCCTACCTATTATAGTAGGGAAGACGCGCTCGTATTATAATTAGTCGATAGTCCTTAATTCTTTTATTTATATATTACTTTATTATATATAAGGATAGTATAGTTAGAGTTAAATATTATATTATATTAGAAGTAAGGTTTGATATAGTTATATAATCCGGTAGTTAAGTGTTTAATTTAGCGCGGACTAAGAAGGATAGAGGTTAAGAATAGAATATAGACCGGCTATAAGGGCGCGGCCTTTAGAAGGGAAGCCTATATTAGGACTAAAGAGGTCGTATGTAATTAGTATATAACTAGGCTCGAGTAAAGCTAGGGTCTTAATGCCTTAGGCAGGGCTTAGCGCTTAGTAATAGGCTAACTTGCCCGCTTTCCTCCCTCTTCTCCTAGTTCTTTATCGAATACTACCTATACCTACTACTACTCTATCTACCTACTAATATACCCTTCTTATACTCTACTAGTTTATTTATATAAGGATTAGTATATATCTAGGTTTTATATCTAGTAAGATATATCTTAGTTTGCTTAAACTAATAGTCCTAGTCGTTAGGCCCTTAAAGAGTAATATATTTAGTTCCTCTAAGGCGACTAGTCGATAAGAGAGCTATTATTAACGATATATCGATCTTATAGGCGCTTATAGAAGCTTAATTAAATAGTAGTTACTTTAGTGCCGTTAAGACTACTAAATATTATTTCCTACTATAGGAGTCTCTAATACTACGGATTTCCGGGCTTATAACTATTACGTATAGCGTAGTAGATTACTTACGTAATACTGCCTTACTAGCGGTTTAATATAGCTTCGTTAATCGCCTATCTTCTCCCTATTCTATAGTCTAAAATACAGTGTAAAAATCCTTCTCCTGCTAAGAAGTTACGTGTTGTCATGTGACTGAGCTTACGCGTCACACACTTCACGCACGTCGACAGAACTAAGAAGCGGACATCACATCGTGGCGGAAGGCAAATAATCTTGGTAACAAAGCAAAATTCGCACCAGGAGTGACTGGTTCCATCAGGAGTGGTGCGCCTAGCATCGAGCTCCAGGAAACAGCAGATAAAAAGCCAGACCATTAACGGCAATGCGGATAGCATCGAGCTCAAGAAAAACGGAACCGAGGAAGCATTCCGCAACGGGATCCAATACAGGTTTCAGTCGCTGTTTCATTCAGGCACGCTCGGAGGCCACAAAGCAGACAGGAAGCCATGTTCAAGCATCATTCAAGCATCAAGATCGATGGGCGTACAAGAGTATCGAGCAAGAGGTAGCAGACGGCAACGAGGACGGCGAGAGCTGCTGTGAGAAACTCAAGCTGGATAGTCAACCCGGTCAACACATTTCAATCAAATCATGCAAGAAGATGAAAGAGCTCAGACTGTAAAGAAGCCTATCACCTTTGCTCATGTTAAGCGTTCTGGTAGTGGTTGTTGCAAGGTCTTCGCATGGACGAAGAATTCCAAAAATTCGATGCAGTTCAAAGACTCCTTCGCTCAGATCACATGGCATCCTGCGATACAACCTTGGAAGAGGCGTTGAAGAGAGCGTCTTGGATCTACGACGGCGTGCGCAGCATACCGAAGATACTTCACTTGTAGTGTCGACTCGCCAATTTCCCACTGGATTTACGGATATATCGAGCTACTCTGGTTTCGGAAACGCAACCAATGGGCCACAGTATCAGTTAATGGTTTTTTTCGAAGCGAGCGGTATCGGCACTCAGTCCCAAAGCCGGCGCTCATCTCAAGGCAGGAAAGCTGTGCGGAACATAGTCAGCGCAAATGCTACGCGGTCCACGCTCGAACCCAAGTCGATCGAATTACAGCCACCTTTATGTGTTGGCATGCCGGCTGCAAATCTGCTTACAGTGGCCGGAGAACCCACCAGAGCAGTCACTGCTCAGAGATCCAGGCCCAACAAAATTTCTAGCATTGGGGGTTCCCCCGCTGTAGATGTTCGCGATCAGCTAATCGGCTTTACGTGAGATCCCGTGTTGTGACTGCGATCAACGTCTGGAAGTTTGTATCAGTAGCTCCTCGGGACAATGTCTTGCGGATTTGAGGACTCATCGCTCGAAGCCCCCTAAGACCAGGAATGCGGTGGTCCTTGGCGGAAGCGAACAAGCGAATGTCATGCCGCAGGCTTACCTTTGGCTTCACGACATAGTTGGTAGAGTAGCAGGGTCCGAGTATATCCTGGAGTGCCTTCTCGTCTTCTTGCCACTTGCGCTCAATGCTGTCCGCGTTGCTCTTGTGCCAATGGGATGCGTGGCTGTCCCAGATCACGATTATGGAACGGTGGAAGCGATCATATGAAGTCTGATCTCTCAACCAAAGCGGACAGGCACCTCACACTGAACAGCTCGACAACCCGCAGTCTACGATGAGATGCCAGACATTTGCAGATCATCACTCCACACACAATACCCTCCACATCTCACGGCTCTGGACACTTCGGATAGATCTTCGTAGTCTTGCCCACGGCATTTCTACGCCGGCTCAGAGGAGCTCACTCCCTCGGTGATTACTTCGTCAACTCAGAAGATTGCAGCACGTTGCAGCCTCCTCGCTCTTGTCTTGACCGTCTATTTCAATCATACCCTTCAGATCGTAGTGGCAGATCAACATCAGCTACACTTCCTCGGGCCCATGCTTGCCAGCATGCAAAGGTTTCGTTTCAGGATGAGATTATGGAGCATGAACCAGTCAGCGGTTATAGAAATGGTTCTGCAACAGAGTCTCGTGCGCAGCTTGGAACAAGGAACGCGTAATGCATCCAAAAGAAAAGTGGTCTCCAGTCTGGCGAAGTTGCATAGTTGGAAAGAAGTGCCAGCTGATGCCGCTGGAGCCCCTCTAGGCATACTAGGTACTCTACAGAAAGCTTTCGAATGTTGACTGCAACTCGAGACTGCTGGATCAAAGGACTGGCTATATGAAGTATCTACCAGAGCGAAGTTTGGAGCAAAAATAACTTTCGCAGGAAGCAGAACTTTATGTAGGCAAGCAGTTCTCTACCTCAGACATGCCGAACACAGGAAGAGTAAGTAAGTGCTTTATGGACACCGGCGTCGTTCTGAGTCGCCGAGCTTAGTGCTCTACCTATTCTCCTCAAGCCTACGCAACCCTAGGAGCCTTTCACCGCGCTGAGACATCGATCAAGGTTGGCAGATTCCGTTATTCTATGCACTCGGAGACCGGGCTTCGACTGCCGAAAACTCCAAGCTTTCTATTCACAACGAATCGAGGATTTTCAACCTCTGCTACATGTGTCGAAGACGAAATACAACTGTCCGCTGGACAAGCGAACGTTCTGTTGGAATTGAACATTGTCATTATCATCAAAGCCATACCTATCTCGACCCACGCGCCTGTCAAAACCTTTGGACTCGTTATGTCATCACTTTCGATAGCTTCTGTTAGCACTGCATCCTGGCTGTCTCGCTGCAAAACAAAAGCATCATGCAGCACGCAGCTGTTCTGATCTCGCTATCCAAAACCTAGACGGATGATCAGGCTGATAGTGGTCATCAGCTTTATCTCGTCTGCCCAGAATTACCAGTAAAACGTAAGAAACTAGCAGCTGCAAAAGATTGACAGACGCAAAGCACAAATTTCTTTTCTAGGCCATTTATAAACAGCAGCTGTTGCAGCGAGCATAATCTGAATTCCACTCTAACATACACGGGTACCACCGGATGAATAGACCACACAAGGCATAATGACAGATGACCATTGTCACGCCTATAGCCGCCCTGCAACGGATCGCTATGAAATTGGCGGAAAGTATCTCCGATATCTCGCACAGGGCTTGCATGTTTTTGTTGTTCTATATCGAATCATTGAGCCCCAATAGCAAAGATCTTATCGCTACTCCTACACATGCGATAATCCCAAGCTCCTTCAATATTACCTGCTCCGCGAAGGGTGCCATCTGGGAGCCTTGGACGCTCGATCCAGTCGTCAGCATAACATAGGATAACCTGCCGAAGATAGTCAAAGCAGTGTGGTGCATGCGGGGTTTTCTGCAACGCCGCCAGATCTATGGCGCCCTCGCCTAACTGCTGGATTGCACGTCGTATGCCAGCTAGACAATGGAGCTGGTGCAACATAGAGACTGAACCGTTCGTTAATCGGAAGATGACCCCCCCAGTGCTGTTTGGTGGTGGTACTTCGAGAAGGTAATCGGACCAAAGGTAGTCATAATCGTGACTGAATGAGAAATAATCGGGATCACGGCCGTATTGGCGACGTTGGTCAAAGGGTCCAGAAGATACGTGGGGATCGTTGCCGTAATGAAGTTGCTTTTGTCCGGGCTTGAAGGATAGGACGGCCACAAGGATGAAGAGAAGCAGTGCAATAATAATCTCGGTAATCAGTCGCTTCCGGTGCAAGTCATTGCGTTCTCTTTCCAGATGGCTGTCCACATTGCCCCTTTCGTCGGCGTCGAGGGGTGTGTAGGCGCCTTTTGCTTTGTCTTCGGAGAGCGGCATCACCGTCTAGCAAAAGAAGAACATCAGGGCCAGGTGACAGGAGATTTTCGAACAGCGCCGCGTTTAATCTGGTGAGGTTGTGGTCGTGACAGGCGGGTCGCTCGTCCTCGTGTCTTTGCTGGGTTCGGCGGGAATAGCCTCAGCTCATCGATGACGCGAGAGTAGGCTTTTGAGGGGCAGGCGCTCGATAAGATATGCATGCATAGTATTGTAACACGCCTATCTGTACGTAGACACTGAACAGGCTTATAGGTACGAGCTGTCTCTAGCCAAAGTATCGGTTAAGCCCTGCAGTGCTTGTCTCAATCGAGCTCGACTCTATAATAGTACTACCCTAGCTAGAACTACTAAATCGAGCCCTAGCTAACCCCGAGCCCTAGTATAACCCGAGATTACGAGATCGGCCCTTTTATATATAATCGCGTATAGAAGCGGATAATCGCGTCGCTATAAGCCCCTCTAGCTAGGCAACTACTACTATACTACTACTAGTAGCTATAAAGCTAAAGTCTATTAGTAAACTAGTAGTACTATAAAATTTAAGGTATTATTAGTAAAAATGTAATATAGTAAAATCTAAGGTATTATTAGTTACTAGCTATCTACCTAAGTCTAAGTAGATAACGCCCTACCGCTCTATAACTACGTAAGGCTATATATACTAGTACTATTACTATAGTATCTAGTAATAAAGTAGCCGCCCTACTAGCTATATAAGCGACTATTATTATTACTAGTAGTACTACTACTAGGTAGCCTATCGTTATTATTACTTATATAGTACTACCTACTAGCGGCTATAGTAAGCCTATTACCTTACTCGCTCTTCTTCGGTCTATAGTCGAGTATTCTTATAGGCTTAGAGATCTTTAATCTCTTAATAGAGTAAGTCTAGTCTAGAAAGAGGTTATAGTACTATTAGAAGTAAAGACTCGACTTATAGATTATAGTACTCGAAGCCGCCTAGATAGTAGGTAGAGCTATACGTACGGTTAGCCTTCTAGTAAGGGTATTATTAGGTACGGTACTAGCTCTTAACGTACTTCTAGCACTTAGTAGTCGTCCTTAGCTACGTAAGTAATACGCTAGGCTTAAGAGTAAATTTAGTCGTTCTAGCTATTACTATGTTCTATCGCTTAGCGACTACTATCTTATTTAGGTCGTCTAATTCGCGTACTATAGTAGTATACTTTATTTTATATAATATAGCTCCGTTTGTAAGAGATTTATAGTTACTAAAGAGTACCTCTAGCTCTTATAAACGGACTATTTTTCTATAGAACTCGATAAACTAGTACCTATAGAAGTAGCCTAGTAGTAGAATAGCGCGATTACCGCCTATCTTAGTAAGCTTTATTAAGTTATAGATATATAGATAACTATAGGTCTTACGAAGGTAGTAGTTATAGCTATACTATAGATAGCTATATAAGATCGCTAAGTGCTTTACCTCGTTACCGTTATCGTTAGCTATAGAAAGTAGGAGGCCGTTAGCTCGCAAATATAGTACCTTTACCTTAAGCAAGTATTAGTCGCTTATTATACGAGATATAGTCGCCTATAATAGTCTACTAAGGGCCTTATTATACCTCTTAAGGTTTTTAGTAAGAGTAATACGACGGCGGTCGTAACCTTCGGCCTTCCTACTACTATTATAATAGGCTCCTAAAGAGCGTAAAGATATCGTAGCGGCTACTATAGCTAAGCTACTATTTAATACGGCTATAGATAGATTTAACTCGACAGATTGTTTTTGTTAGAGGCTACACGTAATTGGTATGTAACTAGCTCGAGTAAAGCTAGGGTCTTAGTGCCTTAGGCAGGGCTTAGCGCTTAGCGTTAGGCTAACTCTCCTACCTTCCTCCCTCTTCTCCTAGATCCTTATCGAATACTACTTGTACCTACTACTACCCTATCTACCTACTAACATAACCCTTCTTATATAGTATTCGATCCACCCTTTAAGGGCAGTAGCTAGATAGTCCTTATTTCAAACTTTTAGCGGTATAGCTACGAACAAAACTAATCTAACTATATTGCGCCCGAAGAACGGTACCTATACGTACTATTCTATCGAAACAACCGTACTAATTATTAAGCAAGGCCTTCTATACGGCCTATTATACCGAGTTAATCGCACTAAGCCGATATCTACTAATTCCGCTATATCCGCATCTTAGGGGCCTATAATATATTATTAGTATTACCCCTTACAATAGCCGGCTTATTACGAAGCAACAACAACCGTACTACCGCTAGTAGCGCTAGCAATAACAACGCTAGTAGCACAGTTCCCGCTAAAGTGCCTACTAAAGTGCCTTCTACTAAAGAGCCTACCGGAGAGCCTATTAAAGAAGAACCTATAATTCTAGGTAACGACCTAGAATTGCCTATCGACGACATTCTTAACAATATTGTTAACCGTCGATATAGCTAACTAGCCTTTAGCCCCTAACTAGTAGGGAGACTCTAAGAAGCTACCTAAAACAGGCTTACTGCCCTACGTTAAGAACAACAGCTAAAGGATAATCTCCTCGAGATTCGCCGCCTATAGGAAGCCCTAACAACTACTGCTAGACTAGAACTAGTAGCAGTACCTTCTATTTAAAAGAAGGATGCTAAGCTTAAAGACTGTACCGTATTTAATAGCTCTAGCCGCAAGTAGTATAATAATTATATACGTAATTGTAAATTAAACTAGCGGAATGCACTAAGGGCCCTACTAGACGACTATTCGCTAGTCGTCTATGCTATACAATACATTAATAGAGACCTAAAACGCACCTAGGATAACTATTTCGACTCCCTTACTAATTAGACCGCTATTTAGTAGCAAGACTATAAGACTATTATGCTAGACACTCTTAGAAACCCTATACTAAGGCAATAACACGCTTAGGACTAATACCTTCGAGCTAAACAAAAGACTAATCAATCGGCTCGCTTATTTAAGGCCTATTTAAAGACCCTTAAGGACGATTTGCTAGCTAAGACCGACTCTATCTAGATTTCCGAAATACGCCCTAAATTGCGATAGGAATTAGTCCTTGAATTAGACCGCCGTCGTGTATTCGAATAGGCTAACCTAATACGCATTCAATTCATAGTCGAAGTAGAAACAGCCGAACGGGCTATTTAGCTCTAATAACGACTAGAATCGAGGATCCGACTAGCTAGTACTAACCGCGGCAATCGCGGTAGCCGCGGAGGAAACTAAGGTTCCTACTATAACAATAATGCTAATAATAGGAATAGTAATAATAACCGTAGAAGAGGCCGTAGCCGCCGGCTATATAGAGGAGGCCGCGATAGGGGCCGTAGAAGGGGCTCGTATCCTTATAACGCTAACCGCTTAACTAACAATAATAGCTACGGCAGTCTACTAACTAGATTGAAGTGCTTCAATTGCGATAGTACTAGCTATCTGCTAGGCTAATGCGACAAACCTAGGGATTAGGCCCGAGTCGACCGTACCGCCGCTAAGTACCGAAAGCATCTCTTAGTAGCTAACGCTACCCCTATAGGCTAACCTTCTAATTAGTCGAAAAAAGAGTAAGCGCCGCACTAACTATTAGCCTCGTACGGCGTAAAACTATCGATATTGTACTAGCTATTATACGTACCTATCTCGTATCGGATACGTATAGGACTAACTATAAGACTAAGGTTATACTAGATCTAGGAAATTCAGTTAGTGCCCTTATTAGCTATCGCCTAGCTAAGCAATTAGACCTTCGACAACTGCCTAGGACTAACCTACTAACCCTTGCTTAGTTTAATAACGCTCGGCACTTGACCTACGGAGCCTACTATATCTATATAGCCCTAAGAGACGACCTCGGCAATAAGCGCCTACTAAACTTTACTACCTACGCAGTAGATATAGATAGCCTCCTATCTAAGATTGTTATTAGTAACTCTGTTCTTAAGTACTATACTATAGTTATAGACTTAGGCAGTTAATAGTAGCGATTTGGAATCGCTAGGAAAGAGGACATTAAACACATCGATATTAGCGAGTGCCCTAACGATATTAGGGTCCTATTTATCGGCAACCTAACACCTGCCGTAGCTAACCTAATAGTCGACCTATTAGGCGATAACGATAAACCTGTGCCCCCTAATAGCATAGACCCTAATTAGCTTGCTCGCATACCGGAGCCTATTCGAGAAACCTATATTAATGTGTTTAAATACTACTTAGTATCGACATTGCCTATGTTTAAAGAGACGGATTATAAGATTAATATTATAGAGGGTAAGGAGGTCCCTTTTAGCCCCCTCTACAACCTTAGTAAACGAGAGCTTGCTATATTACGTAAGTACCTAGAGGAAAACCTAGCTAATAGTCGCATTCGGTATAGTAACAGCCCTACTAGCGCCCCTATCCTATTCGTACTAAAGAAGGATAGTAGCCTACGCCTGTATGTTAATTATCGTAGGCTTAACGCTATTACTATTAAAGACCGCTATCTACTTCCTCTTATTAATAAGACCCTCGATCGCCTTTCTAGTGCTTACTACTATACTATATTAGACATTAAGGATGTATACTATCGCATCCGCATCCGTAAGGGTAATAAATAGAAAACAGCCTTCCGTACCCGCTATAGCTATTTCGAGTATCTAGTTATGCTATTTAGGCTAGTAAACGCCCCTATAACATTCTAGTCCTATATTAATCGGGCCCTTTCGGGCCTATTAGACTATCTCTATATAGTTTACCTAGATAATATCCTAGTTTATATACATTTACCCGATATTGCAAAATACTAAGTGTTAGGGCTAAAGAGGCTATACGTGATTAGTATATAACTAGGCCGAGTGAAGCTAGGGTCTTAATGCCTTAGGCAGGGCTTAGCGCTTAGCGTTAGGCTAACTCTCCTACCTTCCTCCCTCTTCTCCTAGATTCTTATCGAATACTATACTAATTCACTACTACCCTATCTACCTGCTAATATAACCCTTCTTATATAGTATTCGATCTACCCTTTAAGGGCAGTAGCTAGATAGTCCTTATTTCAAGCTTTTAGCGGTATAGCTACGAAAACTATCGATTTAACTATATTGCGCCCGAAGAACGGGACCTATACGTACTATTCTATCGAAACAACCGTACCAA